TTTTTTTTTTTTTTTTTTTTCCTACTTTTTTTTTTTTTAAATTTAGAAATTCTGTAAGCTCTTTTCTCAATTTAAAAAAAAAATGTTGATAAAACTCACCCACCCACCCACCCCTCGACAATTAACGTACTTCTGCGTGCAATAGAAAAATGTGTGTTCAGCCTCCGCGTTATCAAATAATGAAGCAGATAGTATTGAATTATGTAAAATCTCTTTTGCCTTCGCATAGTTCCGAATTTTCACATCTTTCCTGAACGCCATGGTTCAGTTCTGTAGACATTATTATTATCCTAGTGGCAAGAGTTTCAAAGAACTCATGGCTCATGATCAGACTCTATGGGTCAAGGGCTTTCTAAACTGTGGGCCGGGAGGGCAAGGGCTTTCTAAACTGTGGGCCGGGAGGGCAAGGGCTTTCTAAACTGTGGGCTGGGAGGCCAAGGGCTTTCTAAACTGTGGGCCGGGAGGGCAAGGGCTTTCTAAACTGTGGGCCGGGAGGCCAAGGGCTTTCTAAACTGTGGGCCGGGAAATGTTTGAGGGATATGGGTGCGGGTGTGTCCCGTGAAAATAAGCGATACCCGGTACAAACTTGCACGATTATTTTTTTGTTGAATCAAAGGAGCCGATAAGTATAGCGTAACAGTTCGTTTCGTTTCGGTCACGTGGATTCGATTAGGCTACCTTGAATATCTGCTATGCTATCTGGCATCCCCATTTTTTTTTCCAGAGAAAGAAAAGTTTTTTTTTTTTGTTCTTGCAAAATGTTTATAATACTTAAACGAGGTGCCAAAGTTAAGCTTGCACGGGGCACCAGCAACCGTAGGACCGGCACTGCGCCCACCCCACCCCAATTTAGATATCAAAATTTAGGGCCACCAAGTCCCCCGCCCATGATCCAGTAGATCAGTTGGCCTAACTCCTTCTTACGCCGCTGATATTTTGCCTTAAATTGAGAATTTAGGCGGCCCAGGACAAGTGCCACCCCCCCCCCTCTCCCAACACCTTTGTATGGCCTTGGGTGGGATGTTCAAATATTTAGACCAATTTAGCATAAGTCTATTGTAAAATCTGTGTAAATTCTTTTTTTTATATTTTGATGATTATTGGTCGTTTATTTTCTTTAGTTTTCATTTAATATTTTTTAACATTCACAACCCAACTTGCCAATTAGATATTTTAAAATAAATATAGTCTAATAGTTAAAAATTTAAAAAATCAGCGATATCATAACATTTTTGAGCTTATCAAACATTATATTTCTCTGCCATGTAACTTACTATTAAATTTTTAGACAATTTTTGCATTATTATTTAAAATATTGGAATGGTACTTTTGTAAGTAAACAATACATATTATATAAATAAATTAGGCTAGCCCTTTCAAATAGTTCTGGTCCCACTTCCTAATAATAAACATAGCTGAAATTCAATTATTATGGTAACTATTGGTAACGGGTGTATTCTGCTATTTGTCAGACTCAAACACGTTTCTCCATTTTTCAAAGTACGCTAAGAAATGTATCTATTACCTTTTCCAAATCAAGTCGAACATTCTTAATGGTACTCAAGGTATGTTATAATTTTATTGTATATATAAAAAATATATAATAACTTAGACATTAATTTTATTTTAATAGACTCACAATAAGAATACAAACTAAAATTAATATTAATATTAATTGTAAGTTTTAAAAAAAATGTAAATAATTAGTTGTAAATAGTAAATGGCAAAAATAAAATCAATCAAATTCTAATCAGTCAATTGGGTGCAACATCCGGATGGTTGTCTCAGGTGTTATGTATTCCCCAATTTTATTCACTTGTGTTAACCTATGTATGATACGTTTCTTACACTTACAGTTTGAGTCAGACTTGGAAAGTTTCACCATAGGCTGAAGGGCACATGCCCAAAATGGACACTTTATCGGAAAGAATGCTGATGGACAATTTCACCAAATTTTAAAATTAGTTAAAAATACAGATCCATTTAATTGTTTTTAACAAACGAGAGTGGGGAAACATCTGGGAGGTAGGTGGGGCTAGGGGCAGAAGGAAAGGAAACAGGTAGGGGCTTAGGCTTACTGTGATAGGGTAGAATGGGGATTCAGTTATGATGTATAAGTATACTAGGTGAGAGAGAGCATCGCCTAGTTGTACTGATGTGGGTTGAAGGGGAATGGTTTTAGTTTCAGGGCGAGAGAGATATATCTGCACTGTTTTTTTAACCGGGTATTACTATTATCTAGTGAACTGCTATTGAAGTAAGGAAAAATTAGTTATTAACATTAAAATGGTGCCTTAGATTTAGATATGTATGGTAATTTTTCACCCCTTGAGTACTGGGTATGCTCAGCAAATTGAAGCTTAACGATGACAAAACGGAAGCAATCCTTATTCACGATCACAAATCATCCTCTAACTCAGCTTTCCCCCTCTTATTTCAAGTAGGTAACTCTGACATACATTTTACATCACCCACTAGGAATCTTGGTTATATTCTGTTTAACAACATGTCTCCCAATAATCATATCTCTCACAGTTTCCGCTCTGCATCAGCTATCCATCAAATCAGCTCCATCCGCCACTACCTCACAGTTAGTGCAACAAAAACCCTAGGCTATGCTCTCATTCTCTCTCGTCTTGACTATTGCAACTCGCTTCTGTCAGGTTCACCAAAACACTTCTTAGAAAAATTACAAAAGGTTCAAAACTCAGTTGCTAGGCTAGTTCTAAAGGCAAAAAAACGTGATCACATCACATCGCTACTTTATTCATTTCATACAAGCAATGCTTGACTACTACCTCTCTGTTCTCCGCCACAAATTGTTCTGGAATTCCTGCCCTTCCTATCTAACCAAACTTCTTTCTGTCTATTCACCCCTTCGACGGCTTCGCTCCTCCGCAGACACGTGTATTCTCTCTGTCACGAAGACTTGTACAAAAACATATGGTGAACGATCTTTCTCTTTCTGTGCCCCCAAACAATGGAATTCTTTTCTATTACACATCCGCAATATACTCACCATCACAGCCTTCAAAACTGCACTCAAAACACATCTCTTTAAACTCTACTATCCTGACTGATTCCCCCCTCTGACCGATTAACGATGCTGCTGGGTGTTTTGTTTTATTTAATTAATGTATGTTGATTAATTTTTTAAGTTGATTATGTTTGTTAAATTGTATGTACAGTGTGGTGAGCCCAGCCCAAGGCACATCTGATACTGATGTGCAAGATTAAATAAATAACACAACTAAAATAAATATCGTTATCCAAATTGGCTTTTCACTAATATTTTTTTTAAAGAACGCTTCACCAAAAGCAGTGCTCTCCATATTATCACAAATAGTTTTTAATTTTTTACACCCATGTCTCGATGCCCTTTTAAGCTTATTGCCTTTAAATTTTAAAATGCCCTGGTTCTAATAAAAATATAACCTTATACATATCATATGTTATCTGATTCTTCTATTGGTAGTCATGGTTCATGCTCACTGTCCGTTGTTTCAAATATTAAAAATTATCAAACCTGCTATCAATTAAAAAAACACTTTTATGGCAAACTGTTAATTATACTATGAAAGTTTTTATTCTGCCAGGCTGTTAATGATGGGTTGTGGTAAATCTCGGCCTAGAAATGCCTCCGCAAAGACCATACAACAACTAGATGCCACCATTTATCCAGGGCCAGAAGTTCAGTACCATTTTGTAAATATTGATGTCAAAATTTCAACTAAGCTCACCTTCCACTTTCTGTCCTCTCAAATGGTGACAAGCAATGTTGAAGCCTATTACCCTTCCCTAGCACAGCAGTACAACAATGGCTACAGGCTGCTCACATTTTGTCACATCCCTGGCCAGGTAAACAAACAAAACAAGTGAGATTGTTACTTAATTTTAGAAGCTATTTGGATCATAATGCAAGCATTTAGTGAGTTTTTCTGCCTCAACAACTTCCATATACACAGTTTTGAATAAATAGACTTAATTGAGATTCCCTGACTTTACCACATATTTAATTCAGAACTATCTGTAACATGTGAACCTATTGGAGTGAATTCAATGTTTTGCAAAATGCTTGCCTATCTTGAAAGGGTTACCAGAAATTTGATCGAAAGAAATTTCGTCGACGGTAAATTGATCTACGGTAATTTGATCGAATCTTTTTTTCGGTTCACAAGTTAAATTTGTTTTCAAATTTCTTTTTGAACGCACTATACTATACAGTAAAACAAAATAATGCGTTCAAAAAGAAATTTGAAGCAAAATTGTAACGTAAGTACTGAAAAAAAGATTCGACCAAATTTCTGTTCGATCAAATTACCATCGATCAATTTACCGTCGACGAAATTTCTTTCGATCAAATTTCCGGATATGTCTTGAAAGAAAATATTTTCTTTTTATCACTATTCTGTCTACTATTCTCCAATTATTACCTATCACGTTCAGTAAGCCTCACAAACAGAAATGAACTTAAAATGGTCTAAGACTATTATTTCTCAAAATGTGTTTGTTCTGAGCTCACTTAAAAATTTTTTGTTCACCTCCCTGTTATTAATTTAAAAACAACTCTTTTATGTCTAAGAAATATGCTGTTGGTCCCTGGGGGCCATAAATTTCCAGGCCATTGGAAAATGCTGGACTTCTCTTAAAAATCAGGTGCACTCTTCAAACATGACTGAGTGTACCACAAAGGTTGTTTTCAGAAGAAAGTAGATATACTCTACCAAACTTAGCTTTTACGAGCGAGTAACTTTGCCTGTTCAGTTTTATAATCTCAGAAATTAAATCATGTCTGTATATATTTTCATAATGAAATAAAACCTTAACTTTCTGTTTATTCAAAGCTCCAGAATTCAGAAAGCTATGGTAAGACCAACATTTTAGGGAAAGGAATTAAGCAAGCTGTGCCCTACCAGTGGCTGACAACTGTATTTTTAAATTTGATAAATTGTCTTAAGTAAATTAATATGTTCATCATTACCAATGTTGTCCCTTTACATTTGCTTGCTCTCATAGCAGGGTTTTGTGTGTTGTTTTTTTTTTTTCAATTTTTAAAATGAGCACGTTCTTTCCTTTTTATATTTAACAGTGTGAAAATATTTATTGCACATAAATTTTATTATGAAAGGTAAAGGTCAGAATGTATAAATTCTTCTTAATATTCTTAAATAACTTTATGACGAGGAATAGTTCTTTTTTGTTAAATTATTTAAATTTTTTAATAATTTGTTACATTTTTTATTTCTCAGTCAAGGTCAGTGGCCATGTTTGCAAATGGCATCCCAATGCAATTTCAGGCCATTTTTTGTAAATATCCTGACAGCCCAGCCAAAGGAAAATTTCATCTCAGTATTGAAAAATCTGTTATTCAGCCACAAAATGTTTGGAGTGGAATAGTAAGTGCACGTTCTGAGGCAGTTACAGATACAAGTCATTTGATTGAAACCATTGCGACAAAGGCCCAAGCTGGAGCACGACTAGTTTGCATTGAACTGACTGGGGAGGAAGAATATCAAGCAAGTTTTAATTTACCTCAAAAAATGCCAAGTAAGATCTATTGATGTTTAAAGTTAAAGCTTATGTTGTTACTCCTTGGGCAGTAGAGGGTGAAATTTTGTTTTTTAATTTAACCAAAAAATTAAATCAAGTTTTAAAAAATGTTATGTCTGGACTGAGATGAAGTTTTTATAAACAAAATATATTACCTGTTGGTTATTATTAAATATTATTGAAAAAATGAATGTGAAATATGTCATTGGCAAAGTAAGTAATACATAGTTATATTGACCGTGGGGTAAATTAAATACATTTTAATAAGTAAAGTAATTTTGTGTGTGCACGTTTTAAGGTTCCCTACTAGAAAAGATATACAGTCAAGAAATGCATTTTCTGATAATTATGCAAAGCTTGTTAGTCAACTGCTTTGTAATGTTCTTAATGACTTTAATTTTTTAAAGCTTTTGCTATTGAAATAAAAAAACTTTTCTAAAATTGTAATATTTATGCTTTTTTTTTTTACATTTTATTATGATAATGTACATCCTTTATTGAGATAGTACCAGTGCTTTAATACTATTACATTATAACACCCCTTTATGGTATTGTAATATTATTACATTGTTTACCCCCTATCATTATCATTATGTTGTGATTGGATTACATTGTATTTCACATTTTTTGTGTGTCTTTTTAATTATTTTTTTTGCAATGATAGCTTTAACATGCGTCCACAGTTTTAGGAGTAGATATTTTCTTTGAAATCCCCAATGATGCCCCAAAAGAACTCTACATCTACAATGTTGTGTCCTCACCTGTAACAATCAAGTACAGTTTTGGAATGAGGCCGGCCCCAAAAGTGATTTGTGATTGGCAGGAATTATTAGACAAACATCTTTCCTTAGGCTATAGGCTTGTTGATATATTCATAGACGGCACTCAGAGCACTCAGGTAAAATGGTGTGTTTAATGAGGACTTAACGTGAGTAGAACATTTTAATTGCTTAAGTATTACAGTTAGAATAAAATTTAGTTTAAATTTTGTTTAATTTCATTTGTCTATAATGACCAGATTCTTTTTTATAAAATACAACCTGGGTTTGGGTGTCTGCTCTACCCTGTATTTAATGCCGTGATGCAAAATACTTACTTTTTAAAAATTGGATCATTTATTGAAATATTCCTTTAAAGGCTTTCAGTACTGAAGTAACTAAGAACACCCAGTGGTTTTTCGAGAAGCCCCTTTCCCAAGTGAATGATAACACACCAGCTTATCAGGGAACAGTTGTTGAGCACAAAGTAAAAATAATGCAGGGTGGCATTCATGGATCTAAAACTATAACCGAATGGGAAACTGTGATGGAGGTAAATAAGATATAAATCTTGGACAAATATTAAGTAGATCATTCAGATTGATTTACATTGATTCTGTGCATGTGGTTGACACACTTTCAAAAAAAAAAAAAAATTTGTTGAAAGATTTCATTTTGAGCAAGAATTTTTACAAGAGGGTGATAAAGAGACAGGATTTTTTCTGCGGTTCAACAGGAATGTACCCACTGATATAGGAAGAAGGGGACTTTTGTGCCCTAGAAAGCACTTTTTTGTGGCCTCATTATCAGCCCACTTCATATGGTTAATTTTTAATCAAGGGGCTTTTTTTTACATGTAGGCTTTTCTGTATGCATTAATTAGTCTTTATTGATTCGGCAGTCAACATCAACACAGTCCTGGTGTCAAAAATTCCAGCTGCTTTTCCGGAAGTATCAAAACACTATGTCTAATGTAGTGTTCTGATTTTTATATCATAAAAATACTTGGATAAGTTTTATTCACTATAAAACATGGAATGCAGCTGCGGGTAACGTACTGCATTTACTCTCACCTCTCTCAATTTATTAGAGTGCATGTATTATGACTAACATCAAATTATTAAAATTATACCATCTCCTCTGCCAATAGTTAAATTCAACTTCTTATTTGATTATTTTATAATTGGTTAAAAGGAGTCTTAACCATGGTCGTGAATTTTTGTGAGGTTCCTATAATAATAAGCAAAAAAAACACATTGCTAAAATTAAATATCGAGGTCAATACAAATGTTTAAAGAATAATCCAAATAAACACAACCTCAACAAGCTTTATATAAATTTACCTAAATTCCATTAGAGCTGAATGTAAATGAAATATAATTATATAACTCATGATTTTAGGGTGCTTATTTGAAATGATGTATTTTTAAAAATTAATTTTGCTCTGCTCCAAAGAATCAATAATGTTTATAATATTGTAGTAGCTGTAGAGATAATATAAATAATTAAGGTTATTTTATCTCTGAGAAGTGAGCTGTAATGAGGTCAGAAGTGTATTAAAAACAGTTTCTCATTTAAAATGTATAAAAGTCAAAAATATGTCAGAGCCCATTTAATTTTACTGTATATTATTATTTTTACGGTAATTATAGATACCCCACAATGTCAAAACATTAAATCTTGCAGCTCTAAATTGATGATTACTCTTTCCTCACAGGATATGGGCCAGAAAGGATGGGAACTTGCATGTTTACTTGAGACACCAGAGGTTAACTTTTCAGGTTTAGCTACAATTATCATGAAAGTACTTCTGTTTTTCCAGAGGAAGATATTAGAAAAGAAAAATAATACTGAAAGTTAATTCGAAAAGAAAAAAATAATTTTTGTTGACAATGGTGCCTAAATTTGTAAAATATACATTTCTAAACATAAGGAAAGTTTGAGAATGGGGCTTTGTAAACTTAAAGTTTCTAGAACATATATGATTAAGACTACGGACGTTGGAAGTTTTAGTCATTTACAATTTAGCCATTCTTACAGATTAAAAAACGACTATTGAATAAACTTGGCAAATTTTAGCTAATAATGAATTACCTTTTTTTATTAAAAAAAATATGGGTTAGTAGAAATAGTATTAATACTAAACACAGGTTAGAAAAGCTTTAATAATGTCTTACATTTTTAAAATTATTTCAGTAATCTGAATTAAAGATTTTTTTTGAGAAGTTAAAAGACAGTGATCAGATATTTCTAATCTTAACTAGTTTTCTCCTCACTCCCAGCACAAAAAAGCAATTAAATCATCACAGATTTTAAAGCTCATAATATTAATGACAGGATTGCTTTAGGATTAGAGCCATCAATAATCCTCCTTGCTCATGTAAAATAAAATTAATGAAATGCATGTTAGTCAGGTGAAATATATTCAGTTCAGCACAATATGTTTAAATTATTTCCTTTTGTAATTTCTTTAAAAAAAATAATTCAATAGGTAAATTGTCTTTGAGACCTAATATGTCTTTCAAGCACTCAAAAAAAAAAAAATTAAAAATCCGGCTAAGTTTAATTAGGCTGTTACACTTGAGAAAGTGGGAAATCAGGCATTGTCATTTTTTTAACCTATTAAAAGTTTGATCAACTGTGGTCTAATTTTGATTTATTACCTGAATCCTTATTTATTGCTGGGGTAGGAAATGTGTAAAAATGGAGCTTTATTTGGTAAATATAGCATTTTTTTCAAAGGGTGTTTCTGTTTAGAATACATTTAATGTAAATGTTTAATCCCATGCCAAGTTGGCAGTTTTCTTCTGCTGGTGGTCATGTTTTCACTCAAGGTCATTCACTTCCTCATAAAATGTTGATGGTAACTGCACCACAGGCCCATCAGTGATGTTTGTGATGCCATTCTTGTAATGAATGTTTCCAAATCTGATATATATATTATTTTAATTTGGAAATCGAATTTTGAATTGCTTTTTTTCCATGTGTAATCAAAATCATTTGAAAAAAATAGTATTCTCATATGTATTATTAGTGCTTAAATGACATCTACAAAAGGTAGATGATATCTTTCAGTCAGTTGCCTAAGAAGGATGATTAGAAGGTGGGGGGCACTCTATTCTTCATATGCAGGGACAGCAAGCATCTTCAACTGACAGCAAGAGATTTTTTTCTTGGAAAAATCTTGGCCCGTCCTAGGTTGCACTAACCCTAGTTACACCACTAATGTCTTTAATTAGGAACAGAAAGCTAAACTTATGTGAACAATTGTAAAATAATTCTCATTATATTCAAAACTTCTTCTTAGGGTAACTAATTTAAGACAATTCTTTATTTTAACATAATGTAGGTTACATTTACACCTAAATTTATTCTTTGTGGGTTTTCAACGCTGTTTAATGGTTTAGTAATTTTTTTTTTTTTAGCACCGCACTGATATTACATGATTTGTTTAACAATATTAACATACATGCAAAAAAATTTTTTTTATTATCTTATTTTGTTATGTACATTTACTATTTCATAATCGTTTTTTAAAATCATAATATCTTACAATAAGAAAAATAACATTTTGTTTTCCCATCACTTTATATTTTATTAATGTTAATAAATTTCACATTTGTTTAATTTCGTTTCTTTTTATGCTAGAATTCTGGTCCATATTTAAACTCAAATGTTTATTCAGTTCCTGTTAATTATTTTAATTGTTCTGCAGGGACAGAAAGTAAGAAATACGCATTTCCCCCATCATCTTAAATCTTATAAAAAATAGTTCATCAAGTTAAACAATAACCACCACCCCCCCCCCCCCCCCCCCCTAAAATCAATGATTATTTGACACTATACCTTACTAACATAAAAACTCATTTTTTTAGACTTAACACTTAAAGTTTAATGTCAAACGTCAAATTTTAATTTTGAAATCAATCTTTTGCAATGAGGAGATCTTCAATTTCTGTCCTTTGATGAAGGTATGGGTTTGAGAAAGATAAAAGGAAGTGAATTTTAAAATTTTTAAAAACTTATTTCAAAATCCATGTCAACTGCTACAATACTAGCAGAGCTAGCTGATAGCTGCATTGCTGTTTACAATATTTAAATTCGCAGTAATGAAACAAACTGAAGACTACACCAAACATATTTTCAGTTGAAAGATTTCTAATGCCCATTATAAAAAGATAATTAAATAAATAATAATTCAAAATATGCCCCCCCCCCCCCCCCACGAAAACGTGCAAGACGCATTGGATTGGTGTAGCATACTGGCCATCTGAGTTAAACAAAAATCACTGCTACGAAATTATTAACAAATTCATTTCCACCATCGTCAGAGAAGGGAGGCAATAAATTAAACAACCCCTAAAAACAAAGTTTGTCGTAAAAATCCTTGACAAACTGTAATATCGAGCGATTTGGGGGGTGGGAGTGAAAATTTGAAAAAAACATTCATACAAGTAATGCACTTTAAAAAGGAATTTCAATTAGTACCCCCCTCCCCACCTCAAGGCTCGCAACAGCACTTTTTTTTGGTCATGCCCCTGAACTATATTAATAGTCTAATGACCCACCCGCTTTTGCTTTTACACCGCAGATTTATTTTACCAACTTTTTCAGAAAAACGAAAAAAAAAATATTACGCACCAAAAGTAGCCTACTCGTGATATTTCTTTCTTCCTTTTTTTTTTTTTTTTTTTTTTTTTTTTTTTTTTTTTTAAGAATCTCTATTTTTATCTTCCCTTTGAAAAACAGGAAAAACTTATTGAGTACCCGCATTTTCCGGCGAGTATAACTTTTATCAGACGACTGGGCTTATAAGTAAGCGTATGAGACGACCCCTTACTTTTCCTGTTAAAATATAGGGTTTGGGCTATAATATTTATTGCTCGCAGTATAAGACAACCCCTCTTCCAACGCATACCAAATAAAATTATTTAAAAAACAGCAGATTTGATTTGAATATGGTAATTTTAATTCAAATGCTTATGACATGCCGGTACTTACCAGGAAAACTGTCACTTATAAAACAAAAGCCTGTTTGCCATCAAACATGTAAACATAAAACAGTGCAAGTGGATTAAACTTTTGCCTAATTCACTCTAAAGCTGAGAGGGAGGATAAGACAACAAACCCATGTGAGCTGCCGTGCTGTTGGTTTTCTAAGCTGTCAACCAAACTGGAACCAGAAGGGAGCCTGTCCCTGAAGTTTCAGCACGCCGAATACTAGCTTTAAGACGAAATCCCCCCCCCCCCCCCCCCCCCCCCCCCCCGACTTTTGAAATGATTTTCAAGGGTTAAAAAAAAAGTTGTCATTAAACGCCGGAAAATACGGTACTTTTAGAGCGCTTGTCTCCATGATATTTTATCATGCTCACGGCGCTCTGATGTCCTAAAATCTATTTAAAGTTTTAAACAAGTCTTTAAATGTTTCATAAAGGACTTTTTATCATTTTCAATTCCCCTTAAAGATTGAGGCAAACTGTTTCACAAATTAGGCGCAATGGCTTCAAAAGAGCGCACTCCGTATGACTTCTTTCTGGAACCATCTACACTGGGAACTCTCAGTAAGGACTGGGTTGAAGAGCGCAGGTTCTGTATGGATACATGTTTAGAAATCAGTGTTTGTGGCAGGTGCAGAGTCTTCTTTTTATGTAACTATACACCAGGGACAGAATTTTGTGATCATTGCGCTCACTCACATGAAGCCAGTGGAGCTCTTTAACGTTGGGTTGATATGGTCATGTTTCTTTATAGTTTATACGTGCTAAAATGCGTGCTGAAGTATTTTGTACCTTCTGTAGTCTCTGAATTTGGGTTTGAGGTAAAACCCCACAAACAACTGTAACGGTAATCTAATCTTGATTGGATTAGATCAGGAGTGTCAAACTCGATCGCTCGGCGGGCCAAAACTGAAATCACATGTAAGGTTGCAGGCCGAACAGGATGAGCATTCAATAAGCGGAAAATTAATCTTTTAAAAAAAAAAACAAAAAAAAAACATTTATATAAATTATGAAAACAGAAAAATGTTTTAATAATTAAAATCATTTGCATACCCATTTTCGTTCTAATGCCAATTTGTCAGAGCTGGATGTTAGGCACATTTTCTTGGCTACAAAAACAAGTAAGTTCGTTTATGTTGGGAGTAACGTTCTGTGTCATTGACTTTCTCATGATGGACTGCACGTGTTCATCAGTGAGACGACTCTTGTGTGATGTTTTGTTAATCTTCATCACAGACAACAGCTGCTCACACAGATATGTGCTACACAACACGGTCAAGGTTCGATCCGCATGTAGACGAAGCTGGGGCTTCCCTTCGGGAATGAAACGAGTGAACTGTGCAGGCCCAACTTTGTCGTACTTTGTCTTTATTGTCACATTACACTGCAGCTCTATTAGCTCCATCTGCAAATTTACAGACGCAGTTTCCACGAAAGTGCCGTGTGAAATCGGCGCGGAGTAAACTAAGTTTTTCATCAAAGTGTGCATTGGGAAACACCATAGCGTTGACTTGGAAACAAATGTACGCCGGTCAAGACCTCGCGGGCCTGATATAATTGTACGGCGGGCCGGATGTGGCCCGCGGGCCTTGAGTTTGACACATGTAGATTAAGAACTCATACAGGAGAGAAACCCTATACATGTGACATTTGTTCTGCTGCATTTGCTACTAAATTTCATAGAGCTAGACACTCAAGAACTCATACAGGAGAGAAACCTTATAAATGTGACATTTGTTCTGCTATATTTCCTACTAGTTCATATTTAATTGTACACAAAATAAGACATACTGGAGAGAAACCCTATAAATGTGGAATTTGTTATGTTACATTTGCTACTAGTTCAAATTTAACGCGACAC